AGACAGACAGACAGACAGACAGACAGACAGACAGACAGACAGACAGACAGACAGAGAGAGAGATACAGAGACAGAGACAGAGACAGAGACACAGAGAGAGAGAGAGAGAGAGAGAATGATATCAGAGTGTGTGTGTAAGTGTGTGTGTGTGTTTGGGTGTGTATGTGTGTGTGCGCGCGTGTGTGTATGTGTTTGTCTGTGCATGTGTATGTGTGTGTGCGCGCATGTGAGTGTGTGTGTGCGCTTGCGCGCGCCTGTATGCTTGTTGGTGTGTGCGTGTGTTTGAATGTGTGTGTGTGTGTGTGTGTGTGTGTGTGTGTGTGTGTGTGTGTGCGTGCGTGTGTATGCGCGTAGCGCGTGTATGCGTGCGCGTGCATGTGTGTTCGTGAACATTGCAGCAGTTTAAAAAAAATAATAAACACCACCTTAAAAAAAACTGTCGGTATTTCTTCAGTGTACTAAGTAGGCTACTAAGTTACCTGACGTGACTAAACCTCGATCATGAACACACGCAACAACTGTGGGAAATCTCCTGAATAAGTCCACACACGCGATCACACAGACACAAAATCCTTATCCCAGAAAGTGTGGTATTGGTTGGGTTTTTTTCCCTCAAAATAGTTGGAAACGTTTCAAACAAAGTTACTCCAAGAACTAGATTCTAGATCGAGATTATAATGTATACTGAATCTCCAGTCGATCCCTGTTTTCCAAACAAGAATCACTCACACTCGGGTTTCTTCCTCCTCCCGAATAATCCACAACCTGTTCTCCTCTACTCCAGCGCCACCAACATTGGCCCACAAGCAAGACTGGTTCAGTGAGGGAACAGTTCAATAACTCAGTCATGGGAAGCCGCCAAGTTCAAAGAGAGTTTTTCCACCGTTCTCAGTCAGCTCTTCCTATTTCTACAGCTGGCTGGGTGTGTGCGCTCCGCTCCGCCCGACTCACACTCGCTACGCTGGATGGACGCGGGGAGAGAGAGAGAGGGAGAGAGGGAGAGCATGAGAGAGAACGGGAGAGACACGGAGAGACAGAGCGACACGGAGAGACAGAGAGAGAGAGAGAGAGAGAGAGAG